TATCCAGGAAGCACATCAATTAGGAAACGAAATGGCAATACGCAGAACTTTATGTTCAGCTCTTTTAAATCGGTTATTGATATAAAACATAAGTAGGAAGTTTTGTAATCTATATTCAATATCCTTAATTTGTCCAAACCCGACATTGACATTGACTAAATAACAGAATGTTTCTATTTTATTCCCAATATTTACTATCCCGAACATTTTAAACTACACGATTTATACATTAATTCTATAAATTTTTCAAAACAGTCCAAGTTACCGTAAATTTGCAAATAACAGAGTTGTGAGGTTCAAGTCTCTTTTTGTTATGTTTGTTTGTTTTTAAATTTGATAATAATGTAATATTTGTAGGACTATCATGTAACTAGACCACTAACAAGGTGTTGTTTTAGAAAATAATTATTAATACTTGCATGAACTTAACTAACGAAACTAATTGGGCGAACATTTTTAGACTATTTCTCAAACTTGTTCTTCTAAATTCAGAAATTTTTCATCAAAACCATTTAATATAGATATCAATAACTTATTCTTAATTCTTAGCAACACGAAAAATAGCGTGTCTGTGACAGTAATACGTGAAACTTAAATATCTAATCTTTACATGCACACAAATCATTGCCCTCCTAGAGAAACAGTGTCTTATACTTTCTTCCATGTGATCAATTCGTTCAAATGAACCGACAAGAAAAAATCTAGTTATGTAATGTCCGGTAACCTAGGCGACCAGGCTACTTCTGAGCAACGCCCATCCATCTTTGCGGAAATGTTCTATCCAAATACTCATTGCGCTGTAACAAGGAGCTCCATCAAGCTGACACCAAAGAGTCGTTCGTGAAAAAATCGGAAAAAACGTTGTGCTTAAATGATGACTGTTTCGCCTACTGGCGACCATTTTGAAAAGTTGAAAATAAGTTCCACCATGTTCTCTTTGTCACTTTTGTAATCATGTTTTTCCGCACGTCTTTACGACTGTTATTTTTGGAGATATAGCCAATAGTCAATTAATTTAAAAGCCGGTATTTTTTTAAGCCGTCCAAAGTACCCCCAATTCTTACGCAAATTTGTTTTCTCACTAAATTTTGCGCAAACACTTCCTTTCTCAAACTACTAGCATCTTTTGCTCGCTTTTGACGATTGTGCATGTTTCGCTTGCAAATAATACTATAGGTCTAAGGACTGATTATATAATACCAACCTGAAAATGATTTTATTATATTATTTCTGTTTTTTCACAATAATATTTGAGGTAATTGATATTTGGATCCCAATTGGAATTGGTTTTCATTTTGGATGCTAAAAAAATGGTTTTAGTATGGCTCTAACGTGTAGAGAGCGCCACCTACATATTTCATTACTCTTTTGAAGTGTCATAACTTTCTTAAAATTAAGCTGCATCCTTAATAACCACCCGGTATATTTAGAAAAAAGATGTATTACCCGAAAGTTGTGTCATTTTGATTAAAATTTTGTGCCCTTTACTATATTTTGATCATTGTAATTTGTAATTTGTATTGCATGTGAAAAGTTTCAATACAATATACCACAACTAATACAAATATTATTATTTTTTGCAAAATTTCAAAACAATAAGGACCGCATATCCTGACTCATGAATTAAAAAAAAATTGGGTAGGTTTAAGGGAATAGTAGAACAGTAGAAAAGACTGACGTAAAATCAAAGCGGCGTTTTTGAATAAATGTCCGTATTAGGTAACTATTGAGCATAGCCCATCTGCCTCGTAACCCAAAGCTCGGTATAAAAAAAACGACCCTCTGTTGGTCGGAAACTAAACAGGTAGAGTCGTAGCGGTAAATAATATTAAAAAAAAAAGATTGGAAGAGCACTTGGCCGCTTGATATTTTTTCTGTGGGAGTGATGGTGCCTTTACTTCCTAATGGTCTATTTTCGTATTATAATTACGTAAATGTCTTGGGTGAAAGAATAGAAGTACCGTAAGGAGCGAAAGGTTTCGGTTCTACCTACTCGTTCTTAACGACGTCGACGTTATAGCGGTGGATACGGAAAGGCATTATCGCTTTGGTTACAGGAAGTAACAGTAAAGGGGAAACGCAAGTTCTATATGTTATTTTCGCCAAGCGAAAAGAATTGGTGTTTAAGCGCAACTGTTTTGCAACAGTCTCCTTTACCAATGGGGCTAAAAATACGATTGAAATGATTTCTAAGACTGTATAAATTCCAGTTTAACATCAGTACGCCATAGAGAAAGAGTGGAACAAATGTAATGTTGCGGGAAAATCTAAGTTTAAAATATTTTAACAATTCGACCAGGGATAAGTTTTCTATTAAGTTGTTAGTGTTGACTAAATTTCGGTCAATAGTTTTTCATTTCTATATGTATTTTGAGTGTAAGTTATTGCAAATGAATACATGTTATAACAGAAACAAATTGGGTTTGACTTCCATGACCAGTCGATGAACTGTTGTCCTGATTCGGGTCCAAAGGCCGTCGTGAGTTGGAATTGCCTCCTAACGCTTCGCTAGCACGAGTGGCAAGCTTCTCCAGAGATTCTTCCAGCCTGAATAGAGTCTACGTGCAACATTGGAGTTGTTAGAAAGCAATCCTAACCGACTATGGCAAATAAAAACTAGTTCAACACTGAAATTTGTATTATATTTATTTTTTATTATTATGTAACTAAAAAAAGACATACCAAATTTGAAAATAAAGTGATTAGTTACAATATAATAACGCTAAAAAAAAACACAAAACTTGTATTTCAAGCTATTGATCTGACTTAGCGCATTCCACGAACGTTTAGCTGATTTAGGAAATTGCCGACTAAAAGTTTGAGTTTGAATTCAGGTATGAACAATAAGTTATTGACTTTAAGATGTTGTGGATAAGTTTAAAATTTCCTTGTTTTCTTCTGGAGGAAAGAGTGGGGAAGCCAAGGTCTATATATCTCCCAAATTTACAATGGACTCCATGCTGATGCAGCATGCGAGCGAGAGTTTTCATATACTTGAAATTGGAAAAATCTCTTGTGTTACGTTTGGTGACGAAAAATCAAAATTGAAGCTCAACAAAACCCCCAGATTCATGGACATTCCAATGTACTGCAATAAAGATGGAAAACGCAGTTGTTATATATTCCGATATATATAATATATATAACTTGAACATAGAGTCAACTTCGCAAGTGCACGTGGAGTACGTGAATAAATTTAAGTCACAGCAGCAGAGAAGAAGTAAGGAATGGGATGGGATCCTTGAGACACACTGGATTTGAGAAAAAATAAATTGTTAATATGGCAACCTTACAATACGGTAGCTTGTATCCCAACAAAATAGAGAGCCAAGACTTAGTCGTTAACTTTTTTTGATCAGTGCTACATGCTTATGTAGTATGCCAGAAGCTATATAAAATATATCTGAGAAGGTTTGATTATGTTGATGAATTCCTTTTGAAGCTAAATTGCTTAAAATTTTTTCGAATTGAGCTGACGATGCAGTTGGGGCACATTTATTGAGTTACCACATTCACGAGTTAGGTATTACATAGCGGCGTTTCCAATATTAAAGATTATACGCAAAGGTCTCTACAAAACAAAACATTGCTTATTATGAAAAAAAAAACAACGCAACTAGCAACAAAAGTATTATCAAGTAACAAATAATAAGTGACTCAAAATGTTTACCAAAAATGTTGCATGTTATAATTTTTCTACGACCGTTAGTTTTTGGGTACGTTTTTGCAAAACAAACGTCAAAATTCAAGCCTTGCGGTAATATTTCCGAAAACATCCGATTGCTCCCAAAGCCCTGCGGTAATATTCAAAAAATGTCCGAATTGGCTCGGATCCATGGGAAATGAAACTAGCGTGATAAAATGATACTTTTCGCACGCTAGATCGATTTATAACTAGAAGGTATGCATATTTGCCATAGTTTCATAATTTGGAAATCAAATCTAAAATGAGGCGACGATATGAGTAAATATTTTTGAATTAAACTGCAGAATATGTGTAAAGTAAAGGTTTGTAGTTCAACCTTAGTTAGTAATGAAAAAATTTTTAGAGAGAAGTTCGAAAAAATGTATATATTTCTTTATGTACACTTGCATCAAAAGCCGTTACTTTTATTGCTGCCTGTTTGGAATAATTGTAATTCACAGTCTTCCGGCAATTCAAGAACTTTGCGGAAAATTTTGGGACAGACGCTTGGGCCTTATTCGCCCTTCCTCGCGGAAGTGAAATGTGGACATCAAAAAAGGTATACTTGCAGTTTTCGAAAACTGATTCTGCATTCGAATATTAAGGATTTTCTGGATTGACAACAAAGAATTGATGAAGGGATTGCAAAAAAGTGAAGCTAGCTAATAGAGAGCAAACTTAATTAAGGAAGAAGGATACCCTTGTTGATTTCTGCTTAGAGGAGCTAACAATGACATTCTTTAGAAGATGGAACTTCTAAGAGGAAAATAACTCGCAGTTTAGGAACTGACACCGAACAAAATGACACTTTTAAATTAATGAAAGGAATGCGAACTTGATCTTTTTTCAATTTTTCCAAAAGTGGATTGTTAATTAAAAAGCTTATATTTCTCCACTTTTTTAGGCGAGGGAAAGAAAAAATAATTGCAATATGATTTTTGTAAATGTGCCAAGTCCCTGATGTTTATGGGGTCTATAAACCATAGAGTGGTGCTCATAAATTATCCGGTCGGCTCCGCCTTTATTTTTATTGGATCCGTCGTTAATTTTTGGCCAGGGCCTTTAAGGTCGCGCCCAGTATTCACGGGTTTCTCAGTATCAGAGATTTATGATCTGATGTACCTGCGACCGCAACCAATTTTCGTTTCAACCGGCCGTGGTTACGGTTTTGGATTGAAGTTTAATGGTGCCGTTGACGTCTGCGTCAAAATATTTTCGCTTTTAACAGTTCTGGTTTGACGCGGCCATCTCTTCATCTCGTCGATTTGCGATTGCGAACGCCAATGGTACGGGTTCAGGCACATTTAGAAGTGCCTGAATCTGAATATGAAAGAGCGAAAACAATAATTTTTCAGAATATACTGGGTGTCCTAGTAACGGCGACAAGGTACGGTATTAGGGAACCGGACGGTCCTAGAAATCTGAAATGAAAAAACATTAAGATGAGTCGACCCGGAAAAAGTGCTAGAAATTATTTTATGAAATGGCGGCTAGGGAGCGCAATTATGGTCTTTAATTTTAAAAATACGATTTCTACAAAAATTATATAGTTAACGTGGATAGTTTTAAAGTTGAGACTAATTCAAATTACTAAATAAATTTAAATATCTCCAAAAGATGCATTTGAAAAAAATTAGCGAATTAAACTCTAGTTACTTTTTAGGATGTCAAATAATAATTAGAATCAATATAAAATTTTGCTTTTGGCCTTTATGGTCTGTCTGAATCTTCACCGTGTTGGCTTTCAATGGACCCTCTTCAATAAAACTTTCACGATGTTATTACCCATTGTTATTGTTTGAAGTCATCAAAAAAAAATCTTAATTTGGTGACAAGAAAATATTTCTTTCCTTTTGATATATTTATTGAGCGTTTGTGGCAGTATTGAATAATCGTTTTTACTGTGCCTTTTTAAAATGTTATTTTACGAGAATATAACAATGCCGCGTTAAATCATATGTCGCTTGATAGAAAACTGGTTGTGAAAGATGTGTAGGAAACTTTAATCAGTAAAGGACTTATTTAACATGAAACTTTCAAAGAAACCTGTCTACTTCCAAAAACGCTAATGTCGTCGATAAGAGATATTGAAGAAAAGAAACAAACGTAGTGATTTTCAAACTCACCATATAGACAATAGTGATCACGACCTAATAAGAAGTAAAATATATTGTCTTTATCAAAGCGAACTTGCTCCTACCTTGGATAATTTGAAAAAGGAGGTAGAAGAAGATGAAATCAATATAAGTATAAGCCGTGCCACCCTCCATAGTGTTGTTTGTAGAATGGGATGGGATTTAAGTGCCGTAAGGCAAGTAGTAATGGAATCACACAGATTAGGCACTTGGAGATTTAATTACCTTCAAGAAATTAAAAGATATAGATTAAACAATACACATATTAATTAAGTTGATGAAACATGCTTTGATACACACGACGCTGTATCGAAAGGACGAGTTGATTTCACTCAATACTGTCTGGCGAAAGCACCTTCAAGTAAAAGAAAACGCATCACCATAATACACGCTGGGTCAGAAGAGGGATTTGTCCCAAACTACTTGCCTTTGTCTGCAAAGATTATTAAGGTTTTTAACTTGCATTATCAAGAGGATACAACTGCCGAACTTTTTGAAAAATTGTTATTATTAAAATCTTTTTAAAATATCCCCACTAACAGAAATCTTGGAGTATTTGTTAGAAAATGATATCAAGTTTGAGTTCAGTTACAAAAAAGCACAACTTTTTGAAGTCTTAAATTCATATGCAATTATGTGATAATTTGTCTGAACAGGCTGTTTTACGTCTTCCTCTATATCATTGCATATTTAACCCCATAGGCGATTTAAGAAACCAAGTAAAATCAAAGGTCAGAGCAAAATATGTTACTCCTATTTTAAGTCCAGTGTTATAAATTAGATAAAAAATGTAATTAATATCATACCAATTGAAAGCTGGAAAAATTCAGTACAGTACATTATAAACATTTCTATACCAAACAACATAAATCCTATTACATATATTATGTATATTATGGTCACTAATTTTTTCATAATCGTCCAAATTAAACTAATAAAGTGTTGAATTATTGAATTATTTATATAATTAAATGGGTGTTTCAATAAGACACTTTTAGACAAATTTAAGAAATTTACAGTAGGCATCAAATAACGACATGAAAGATAAGGGTAGTTAAAGGAAATACTCATTTAGATGCCTTTGCTTTGGAGAGGGGCGTTCCCCAGGGGATTATTCTGGGACCTATTTTGTTCTCAGTTTATACAGCTGACTTCTCTACTTTGTATATTCACAATCATTTTCTCGGTAAAGAAGTCAAATTTAAACTCTGTGATATGTTAGTTTTATCCCATGTCGCTTATTGCAGTATTGTCTATTGGCCAGCTATACTTAAGTGAGATAGGGAGAGACTCCAACGACTTCAGAATGCTTGTATTAGTTTTAGTTACAATCTCAGAAAGTATGACCATATTTCACAGTGCCTCTCTGAAGCTGGAGGGCCGATATAAAGTTCAGTTAGCCACTTTTCTTTTTTTTACTAAACTCCAATAAGACCCCGTCGCACTTGTTTGATAAGCTTTGCAGAGGGAATGATATTCATAATCGAGACACCCGTCATTGTTTAAGATATTGCGTTCCTAGACGCAGCTAAATTATTTAATGAAATTCCTTATGCTATAACGTCCCCACAATAAAGTCCTTTAAAAAAGCGTTAATATTGTTTATTAGGCCTTCCCGTAAATAGCAAAAGCATATGAGTTTATGATGTGCGTCTATTTCTTGTGTTTACGATGTATATACGGGTGTGTATTTTTTTGACAATGGAAGGGCGCAAATTGTGAATGTCGCCACACTTGTATTGTTACTTATATTGTAATATTTAGATTTTTCAATGAAGACAGTTTATTACACTTACTTCTGGTTTCCTCCTGCATCTATTGTTGATGAATCGAACTTGCTGACGTTTCGACAATTATTGTGTCTTCAGAGCTTGACTGAAACTGGCTCTCACTTTATTCTGTACCTGCTTATATATTTTATAAGGGGGACGGAGCATGCACATTGTATGGGATGACGGATTCCCATATTGATGAGTCGCTGTTAAGATTATATGGGAATCAGTCCTCCGAAACAATGTTCCTGTACTTTAGCTCCTCCCCCCTCAAACAATATATAAGCAGGTTCAGAGTAGAATGCGAGTAGTTAAGCTCTGACGAAATCAACGGGATGTTTGGCGAAACGTCAGCAATTTCCATTCAAGAACAACCGTCGCAGGAGGGATCCAGTAGATTTGTAAGTAGTATTAGAGTAGCCTGTGGAAGTTTATTTGAAACCGAATATATGGACATAAACATTGTCAATTCCTGCTTTAGCTCCGCCCCCCTCAAACAATATCTAAGCAGGTACAGACTAGAAAGTGAGCCAGTTTCAGTTGAGCTCTGAAGCTACCAACATTCATCCAGTTTTACTCTTCAACAACCGACGCCAAAGGAATCCAGTTTTTTAAAAGTAGTATTACAGTAGCCGGTGGTAGTTTCTTCGAAAAATTGGCAATCATGGTGGTTAGGAACGAATTATTTCTGTCGAAGATGTTTTATTCATTGGTTAAATTTCTAATTTTTAATGAAAACATATCATGTCAAAAGGCACGGGGAAATTTGGAACTCTTGGGAGGTATTTAAAAAGCAAATAATGAAAAAAATTAATAACACTTTAAAAGGGCGTTAATTCTAAGGACGTTTTGTTTGTATCTTCAAACTGCGAAAATTAAAAGCACTTCCTGTGAAATTAGAATGCCAATAGCATCGCTTGCAGTTGTGAACTGGTTTGTCGGTTGCAAAATGTATTACAAATATTTTTTGCAGTTCACCTGAAGTGTGCTCCAGTTAGGTTTTAAGAATAAACTTTTAAAATCGAAAGCCACTATTAGGATAATTGTTGTTAAGTGTGTGACATCCTACAATTGTGTTGGAATTTAAAACCGGTAAGCTCTTCCTTTAATGTTGAACACTAATGCAGGGCCGTTCTTAAGGCCGCCCTGTACTTCCAAATATGTTTGAACCAAGCTCCGGATTGCTTCTATGTTTATCTAGTATTCATCTAGCAAGTGGATGAAAACAAACATATATTTTAGTTTAGGACATCACTTCCTAATACATCTGCGTAACTGTACTGAAAGTAGTGAACGTATATCAATTTAAAACATACAACGCAAAATATAAAATTCATATGAAAACAAACCTAACCATTCTAAATTATGGTTCCAAAGAAGTTTAACATTTTTTGAGGCAGCAATGAATTGTAAAATCGCCGAAAGACATCATAAAAAGATAAATGTGTACTTTATTTTGATATTTGAGTTGCAGCCAAGGTGAAATATACAGGGTTTTTCACTCAACCCGTTTATTATAGTTTTTTGGTTGTATTTTAGAAACGCCTTTTAATTTTTGGGGTTAAGGTAAGTGCCAAGTATACTTCTGTCACGTCCGGTTCAACCAAAAATTGCTGTCAACTTGCTTATTTCATACGGAACCCTTAAGATTCTGTGTGAAAGTTTAAACATATTTTACTTGTCTGAAAAAAAAAATTGCACCTCCGATTTAACCAAATTTGAACAAATATAATGTGTTTGGGACATATCAGCGAATAAAAAAATGGCGGATTTATTTTTTCGCCAGTAAATCCAAACCGGTTAAATGAACAGCGGCCAAACTGTGAAATTGCGCATTTTTAAAACGAGCGTGATATGTTCGCCATATTGGATTTTTAGATTTTTGGAAAGAGCGTAAAATGTCCAGTTCAGGGATGTCATAAGTGTGCAAATGATTTATCACATTTCGTAAAGTTGGCTCTTAGTTATTTTATGAGTAGGCCATAAACATTTTCAATTGAACATGAACTTCTCAAGAAGTTAGATTTTTTGTGCAAATTAAAAAGTCAGAAAAGTAAATGGTTATTTAGTTATCACTACAAGTTCGATAAAAATTTAAAAATAAAATCGCAAAATGCAAAATAAGGTCATAAGAACATTTTTGGCAAATGGTGACTGTTTTTTGTACAATTCTAGCAAGTGTATTTAATGTAATGTTTTTAAATGTACCCAAAACTTTTTGTCTTAAAAAATTCATAGATGTCATTTTTTGTCTGATTCTAGAGGAAGAAATCCATGAGTGAAAGGCCCGAGTTTACGAACTGTGATAAATCCTTTGTGTAGTTGTGAGACATCACTGAACTGGAAACTTTACACTCTTTCCAAAAATCGAAAAATCCAATATGGCAAACATAAGAAAAGATATAACATAAGGCGATTATGAACTCACCTTAAAAAAAAATGTGAATAATGTCACATTTTGACAACTGTTAATTTAAGCGCTTGGGATTTGGTCCCAAAAAAAGAAATTCGCCA